TTTCTGGTAGCTCTGTGCCTCCACTGGTTCTTTTCCTTTGTGTGTTCTTATCTGTTGTTTTTGTTTGGTGGTATTCCATACTTCTTTCCACTGTTTCTTTTTTTTTTTTAAGCTAAGTGTGTGATTACCATTAGGTTTATCAAACAAAAAGTTTCATATATACAGTAGTCCTTTTTCATTTGGTCTCTGTTCTCCTTTGCAAATTCAGATCTTTATCCTCTCCCCTTTTATGTTTTTATTGTCACAAATCATCCATGTGTGTGCTGTTGGTGATCTTACTCATAGTTCTGTGATCTTTTGTTGTTTGTTTCAAGTACAATAACCCCCTTGAGTGTTTCTTGCAATAGAGGCCTCTGGTGATAAATTCCCTAAGCTTCCGTATGTCTGGAAAAGTCTTTATTTCTCCTTCATATCTAAAGGATAACTTTGCTGGGTATATTACTCTTGGCTGGTAATTTCTCTCTTTCAGTCGTTTGAATATTTGGTTCCACTCTCTTCTAGCTTGTAAAGTTTGTGCTGATAAGTTTGCTGATAACCTAAATGGGCTTTCCTTTATAGGTTATTTTCTTCTTTTCCCTGGATGCCTTGAGAATTCTTTCTTTGTTGTTAATTTTCAAGAGTTTTAATACAATGTGCCTTGGAGAAGACCGTTTCTGATTGAGATAATTAGGTGTTCTGTTTGCTTCATGGATTCAAGATCTAGCTCTTACCCGAGGTTATGGTTTTTTAAACATTGATTTTAGAGAGAGAGGAAGAGGGAGAGAGAGAAGGAACACTGATGTAAGAAACATCGATTGGTTGCCTCCTGAACACACCCCAACTGAGGGTCAAACCTGCAACCTAGGTACATGCACTGAGCAGGAATCAAACCCATCTCCTTTTGGTGTATCGGACAATGCTCCAAATAACTGAGGCATCCAGCCAGGGCTGCATGGCCTTCTTGATTCCCAAGAATATGCTATAGCTTTTCACGACCCATATAGACATCGAATCAATCAGTTTTTATTTGTAAGCTTGTAGGTTAGCTTTCTGTTTGTTTCAAGTGTTATCTTCTGCCTCAAGCCTTGTAAGTGAAGTCTTCCAGACAGGTCAAATGATGACAATCTCGAGAGCATGAGACTTTGAAGAAGTTCAATCTCTGTTCTGCCTCCTCTGGTGGCAGCCAGGCTCCTGTTTTTTAACCATGATTGTGAAGTGTTTTCAAGGTTACTGTGGAGGCTGGAGAGAGTGGAATGTGAATAGGGCAAGTTAAAATGCCACAAAGCTCACTGTTCTTATCAATAATAAGCTTTTTTTCCTAGAATAAATTCTTCTTGGATAGCTGTAAGCCTTTGGTAAATTTCCAAAGTTCTGAAAAAAGTTGATTATGACAGTTTTTTGCCAGTTTTACCCTTGCTTTTATGGAGATGAGAACTGTTGAAGGTCCTTATTCCTCCTATTTTGCTGACATCATCTGCTACTTGGAACTTTTAAAATGAGATATTCTTGAAGACTAAGAAAACTGGAATTCTATCTATATTCTTTCTAGAAGACAACTTAATAACATTTCAAAATAAAAACCACCATTTTTGAATTTTTTAAATTAAACCATAAAGAATTGAGTCCCTTCAAGATTTTAGAACTCTGTTAATGCAGTGTCCAGTTCTATACATCTTACCTTTCTTATGTTTCCTTATAGCAATTTGCCTGAATTAATTTTTATATCTATATCTAAAAGAAAAAAGTCAAATTTCATTAGTGTCTCAGCAGAGTAAAGGATAGAATGTGTATTAATTAAAAGTTTAAGATAATACTAAATGAATTTCATTAATGGGGATTGTGTATATGAGTATAAAAATATCCTCTAGTCAGAAGTAATATCTTAATGTGAAAGAAGACATTCTAAACCATTTAGGAATACTATAACTTTGTAGGAATCTAATAAAAGCTGTGGATTCTCTTCCTAGAAAAATGAACATACAAACATAATTCTGCTTATAATTCTGGAGGTTCTTGGATATTTTGCAGCCTGTACATTAAAAACCCCCATTGAAGAAAAAAATTATGATTTTAATGGGAAAATAAAGAAGAGATATTCAAATAATTACAATATCTCATTTTCAATGGAGCAATATGAATTTAAAATATTAAACATATATAAGTGGCCTCCAACTAACGTACATATTTCATTTCAAAGGCTAACTTGTACATTATATTTAGAATTTATTACATATGTTTTTTCATAAAACCATTAGAAACAATGGTTAGAGACTATTCAACTGTAAGTCTCTTAAGAGTAGATGCTCTTTTTATTTGTCTTTGAATTGTAAAGGCCTACCCAAATAAACAGTACATGTTAGTTCCCAGGTGACTCTTTACAAAACATATTTTACTCAATAACAAATTTGAATACAAATTCACTAAAAAAACAGGAAAAAAATGTTGAGGCAATGACAAAGATCAAATAAACTACAAAGACAAAAATAAAATAGAAGGGGAAAGAATAAAGAGTAATAGATGTTATCTGCTTGCCTGAGAGACGGGATTAGAAAATGTAATGGTAAATACAGATATTTCTAGATATTATTGTATGAACTTATTTGAACTTTGTATTAATTTTTTCTTCAGAACACGTTTCTTCCTAGCATAGCATCTCCTATCTTTAGCCACAAATGAAGTCATTTTGGACACTAACAATTTGCAAACTGACTTGCAAGAGCAAAGGGGATAAAATGTTTTGCATGTAGTGACAGGAAAAGAGTTTAAAGAAGTTGGGAGTGGGGAGTGCACTGTTCAAAGAGGTTGTAAATAATGAAATAAGCTCTGGCCGGTTTGGCTCAGCGGTTGGAGCATCAGCCTGCAGACCTGAAAGTCCTGGGTTCGGTTCCCGCTAAGGGAATGTATCAAAAATAAATGAAATACCTTATTATTTATTATATATCTTATAATAAATGTGTTCAGATTAGAATAAGGTAAGCTAGTGTGAACATGGTCTGTAGAAGGTATGGGAACTCCATGGCAAACAAATGGTCAGGGGCGGAGACAAAATTCTGATTATGTGTCTTGGTCATTGAGCTAAAGAAGTTGGGAAAACTACATTTTGGTGCCATAAATATAAAAAACCAATTACACATTTTCATCTGAAGAACACTAAACTCTGATGAAAACCAGATAAAGTCATAAGTAATACACAGAATTCAACTCGATATCTTTTACTATCTATAGGTTGTGGCCCTACCACACAGGATTGATCAATGGAATGACCTGGCCTTGTCTTTGGAATAGGACGTGAAGATATTTATGTAGCCAAAGTAATGAAGGAGTGAGCTACAATTTCCCATATATTATATTAGGATAAGACAAGACTTAAACTAAGAAGCATGAACTACATGCCAACCCCCTCTTTTAAAAAATGTTTGACATTTGACTCCCTGATAGGTGACAATCAAAAGGGGTTCAGCATGGCGGTCTAGGTCTCTAGCTCCAGAGATCTCTTGCTAAAGAAATCTATCAATAAATATCCTTAGCCAACTGAGACAGTAATTAATTGTCTCCCTAAAACTGTCTTTGGCCTGGACAGATTAAGAATTGGGTATAATGATGAACTAAAACAATATATGATAGGTATACTGAGCAACTGATTTAGATTTATGATTTCAAACTGAAATCTTACTAACAGTTCATCAACAGTACCAGAACATTTAAGAGAAAGAAAGATTCAACACCTCTATATGTTTAATAAACTAGGTATATGTAATATTATTACTTCAGTACTCAGGAAAGTTTTCTTTGTCAGTTGACAACTGAAGTACAGAAAATCAAATACAGTATATTAATCTTAAATGCAGTTAAAAAGTTTTAGGAAACATAATTTAGTTGTAAAGCCTGATTAGAAGGAAATTTTAAATTCTACTAAATTTATAAAATAATTTGTATTAACAAATAATAATAACCAATCCTAGAGTATAAAACCATAAGACATAAAATCTCTGAATCTCACTATAAAATTTCAAAGATTAAAGCATTAAAAAATCAGTTAGTGATTCCTTATGAGTAACAATCTCCAGGAATCTTTTATAATCAGTAATAGATAATAATATTACAAAGGTTTGCCAAAGTATTTCAAAGTAATGATCACCCCAAAAAAGATCTGCAAGAACAGATTAACTTGGTGTTCATACTATGTGGACTTCTACTTCCCAAAGGAGCATAACTGGATAAAATATGAATAGGCCACTCTGCCTTAGGTTTTCCAATTTAAACTGTCAAATGCATTGCTCTTGGGATTATAAAGGAAAGGACTAAAGAAGGATGAGTCTTCTACTGGACTGTGAAAAGTCTAAAGTTAGAAGACTGGCTAATTAGAAAAATATAATAATTGTGCCATATGAAGTATGAGCATACCTGAATTGTGGCTATATGAAACTATGGCTTAAAAACTATAAAAATAAATAACTTTAAATGCTTACATACTGTTTATAAATATTTATACATGAATATGATCACCCGTATCAGTGTCCTAAAACAAAATTTTAAGTCCTACAAGTCCTATCAATACTTGATCTTTCACATACACCATATGTGACTTAAGCCCAGCGCCATGCAAGTCTTTTAGATCATATTCTTAAAGGTAGTAAGTTATGGACTTGAAGAAAATTCATCTGAGTTTCTTCTGAATCTGCAATTGTCACATCTGTACTATTTCCCCTCGCTCCCTTCCCATCCCATGTTCTACACCACAGGCCTCAAAATTAGACTTCCTTTTCTTCCTAGTCAAAAACCATAGGCTTATAAGCCATGTTACATGATGTTATAACTCTGTAAATCACTCTAGCTATCTTTCAAATACTATTTCCTAGAATTCAAACAAACTAGAATGTAGTTTAAATTATCTCCACCCACTTCTCACTACATTATACCCATCGTTTCCCCAACCCCAGATGAAGGTTAGGTTGATAAATGGATTTTGGAGATGAAATAAAGCCAGACATCAAATAACTTACTTGAAATCCATCTCTTACCTTCTGTACTTAACCCCGGACTTGATGTGAACTTGGCTACATCAACAATTTTTACAGCAAATTGTTGCCCAGTTTCTCTGTTGATACATCGTCGTACAACACTGAAGGGACCCCTTAAAAAAAAAAAAGCCAAGTTTAATTTGTTGATTTTCTTAACTCCCTAATTTTCTTCAACATAGTTCATTGTCTACTATAGGCATTGTTTTCAAAATCAAATTTAAGTAACGTAATTTGAACATATTTTTCTATAATTCATGAGGTAGGTAATCCATAAATTAAAGTTATTAAACCAGAAAACAAATTTTCATTTCAAAATCACTTTTACAATTCATAAATAGCATTCTTAAATTCAAGGCAAATAATCTTTGTAATATTCTATATATATTATAAACATTTTAAACAAAATAAGAAATCAGTTATTGGCAATATACATAGCTTTTATACTTAGAACCAGAAATTTAAGTAATTCTTGACCCATTTTTCTCATTTTACCCACCACTTTTCTAATCTTCACTAATAAGTCTAATCATTTGCTTAACCAGTCCTCCTCTCCTCAGTCTACATTGGTGGCTCTCAAAACTGGAATGATTGATGAAATACCAATGCCCAGGCCCAGGCATTAAACACACACACACACACACACACACACACACACACACACACAGTTCTTTGTGATTAATAATGAGCAAATAAGTATCATAACTAAAGATAATCCAAAGTTGAGATTTCTACACTCATGAATCAACTATTGAACAATACCAAATGTAATAGCAATACACTATAGTATTTTATTTGAAGGCTAGAATGGTTTCAGTCATTAAATACACACACACATGTACATATGTATACTTTCCCCCTCCTCAGAAAAAAACAGAACAGAACAAAACACCCTCATTGGCTTTTTTTTTTTTTTTAAATCTTTATTGTTGGATGTAAAATGTATTACAGATGTTCCACATTTTTCCCCCATTAACTGGCTCCTCCCCACTCCCGCCCCCCTCCCACCTTTTCCCACACTGTTGCCTGTGTCCATTGGTTATGCATATAAGTTCTTTAGTTTATTTCTTCCCACCCCCCCAACCCCTTTCCCTTTGAGGTTTGTCAGTCTAGCAATGAATTTGTACTTCTTAATCCCTTCACCTTTTTCACCCATTCCCCCAACACCCCTCCAACTGACAACCAACAAAATGTTCTCTGTATCTATGAGAAAGTTTCTGTTCTACCTGTTCATTTTGTTTGTAGATTCCATTGTTGATAGATATGTATTCATTGCCATTTTGTTTGTTCATACATTTTATCTTTTACTTCAAAAAGACCCTTCATCATTTCATATAATAACGGTTTGGTGGTGATGAACTCCTTTAACTTTTTCTTGTCTGGGAAAGTTTTTATATGTCCATCGATTCTAAATGACAGCTTTGCAGGATAGAGTAATCTTGGTTGTAGGTTCTTGCTTTTCATCACTCTGAATATTTCTTGCCACTCCCCTCTGGCCTGCAAAGTTTCTATTGAGAAATCAGCTGACAGCCTAATGGGAACTCCCTTGTAGGTAACTAGCTGCCTTTCTCTTGCTGCTTTTAAGATTCTCTCTTTGTCTTGAACCTTTTGCATTTTGATGATGATGTGTCTTGGTGTGGGCCTCTTGGGGTTCATCTTGTTTGGAACTCTCTGTGCTTCCTGGTCTTGTACGTCTGTTTCCTTCACCAAGTTAGGAAAGTTTTCTGCCATTATTGTTTCAAACAGGTTTTCGATTTCTTGTTCTCTCTCTTCTCTTTCGGGCACCCCCAAGATGCGAATGTTGGCATGCTTGAAGTTGTCCCAGAGGCTCCTTACACTATCCTCATTTTTTTGGATTCTTTTTTCTTTTTGCTGTTCTGATTGGGGATTTTTTGCTTCCTTATATTCCAAATTGATGGTTTGCTCCTTGGATTTATGTACTCTATTATTGAAGCTGTGTAAATTATTCTTTATTTCAGTTAATGCCTCCTTCAATTCTAACTGTGTATCCATGATTTCTGACTGATCCTTTTTTATGCTCTTGAGGCCCTCCCTAAGTTCACTGAGGTTCTCACTAAGTTCACTGAGCATCCTTATAAGCAGTATTTTGAACTCAGTATCTGTTAGGTTGCTTATCTCCATTTTGCTTAGTTCTTTTACTGGGGTTTTGTTCTGTTCTCTCATTTGGGACCTGTTTCTTTGTCTCCTCATTTTGGTTGCCTCCCTGTGTTTGTTTCAGTGTATTACTTAACGAGAGGTATGGAGCTCGCTGAGACCAGATGCTGCTTGTTTGAAAGAATTTAGGAAAAACCTGAGGCAGGATCCAAGACAGGCCAATCCTATGGTTAAGCAAGTGGCAACAGCTTGGGTGGGCTTGAAAGTTGGGCGGGGCGGGGCCTCAGCGAGTCAGCAGGGCGGGGCTACCAGTGTGAGCCAGGTCGCTGCAGTCCCAGCTATGGCGACTGTCTGCCGCCCCAGGGAAGGGCTCTCCCAAGGAACAAAGGCCTCTGACAGCACGTTTGTCCCGGAGAAAGCACCTTCCCCAGCCCTTGCTCCAGTGCCAAACAGCTCAGTTCTTCCCTGTGTGTCTCTGGGGCCCCTCGAGCTGCCTCCCCTCCGAGCTTAGAGGGAGAGAGTCCGATGAGTCCGTGCGCGGGCCCTTTAGGGAGCTGCCTGGGGCTCCAGCCGCTTCAGCCTCCCTGAGCCTCAGTTCCCGCTGGTTTTTCCAGCCAGAAGTGATGGAGACTCTCTTCCTGGCACTGGAACCCTGAGCGGGGCACCTGGTGTGGGACGGGGACCCCTCAGTCCTCAGGAAGGACCTTCCCAGCCGAGGTGTCCTCCTGATTTTTATCCACCACATGTGGGTGTGGGACCAGCTCGCTGCCGCGGCCGCCCCTCCCTTCCTCCCACCAGTCTGGATGCGGCTGCTGCTGTGATCCCGTAGCTGTAGGACTGCCATGCAGCGTGATTTCAGGCGGTTTTGAATGATGGTTGTTCTGTAGTTTAGTTGTAACTTTGACGTGGTTGTGGGAGGACGCGATACCGCGTTTACCTCCCCGCCATCCTGACCGGAAGTCCACCCTCATTGGCTTTTACAGGTAATAACAATACACCTGGATGCATGTGGTCAGTCAGCAGAAAGAAAAAGGTTCTTCATTTATATTAGCATATCTGTGATACTGCTTGCCTTAAACTATAAGTTTGTCTTTTTTCTTTCAATTAAAGGATAAGCAAAAGAATATAGTCTAACCCAGACTTAAACATTTCTCTGAGATCATACCAATTAGTTGCTTTCATCATGTCATCATCAGTACATCAATTAAACCTCAGCTTCCAATCTCTCTTGAAACAACCTAACAACGTTAAACTGGAAGGAAAAGAAATGTGATAATATACCTTTCAGAACTCTATAGAAACAGGACCTTTTGATAATCACTCAAAACTATTCAAAGATTTTCCTTTGTGAGAAGACAATATAACAGAGTGTGAGACAGGACTCCCACAAATGTTTTCATTCTCTGTCTGGATGTCTTACTAGTGATCACTTATCCTAACAATAGCAAGCAATTTCAGGAAAAGCTTAATGTAATCGGTTTCTGTCCACACATAAACCCTTGGGACTTTATACATATATTTGTGTAGTGTGCTTCAATTCACTATATCTTTTTGTAAAATTTCCGAGATCTATATGTGGGATTATTTATGGTCAATCGAGTCAATTCTTGTTTTTAACTTTTTAGTTAATCCTCACCTGAGGATATTTTTCCATTGATTTTTAGATAGGGAGGGAGGGGGGAGAAAGGGGGAAGAGAGAGAAAGAAATATTAATGTGAAAGAGACATGTCAATTGGTTGCCCCCTGCACGACCCAGATGGGGGCCGAAGATCGAATCTGCAACCCAGGTATGTGCTCTTGACTGGGAATCGAACCCATGGCCCTTCAGTCCATGGGCCGACGCTCTAACCGCTGAACCAAACCAGCCATGGCAATCAAGTCAATTCTTTACTTTTTCCCATTTGAATGAAGGTGAGAAAGAAAGCACAGCTTCACCCCCTACCTCTTTTAGTAACAGTAGAAGGGAGAAGGCTAGAGAGAAGGGAGAGAAAACAAAACACTGAGACAAAACAAACAAACAAACAGAAACATGTTTACATCTGTGAATAAAAATCAAATCACATCAGCTCTTTAGGCTAATTTTATAACGTGAGGCAAAAAATGATTTTACTTATGAATTATGGATGATCTGAAGACAGGTCACAAGTAAAACATTTTCAAGAATGTCCCTCAATGACATTCAGGGGGTTAGCAAAGGTAAACCAAATATAGAACACCAAAAGGACACTGAAATATACTTCAAGTTTTTTGTGTATGTCATTCAATCCATCAACTAGAAACTAAGTGGAAACAGATATATATTTAAATGAGTGTATAGTGTCTATAATTTTAGCAGGACTGTTACATTTATTTGGTCAGTAGGTTAAAGAGAGGCTGGCTATGAGAAAATCTGGTTTGGTTTCCCATGTTAAAAGGGGTGGGGGTACAAAGAAATGTATATCAAACATCTACTGTATTAAACTTATTAATTATACTTTAATGACAGTTTAAGAAACAGCAAAAATTCAGAAGGCCTAGGTTTCAGTCTGACTTTAAACTCTTCTTTGATGTTTGAAATTTCATTCTTAAATTTTTTAGCCTATAGTACAGTCAATTCTTGAGTATTTATGTGCATGGAAACTACTATATTTCTCATATGTCCACTAATTCTGGCCAGGGTATTACTTAAAATGGAATAATTAGATAATTGAGGATATTTCAGATTTGATAAAATATATATTCTTTATTCAACTCTTTAAGTATACTAAATATTGACTGGGATTGTAACACAAGATTCTACTTGAGGCAGGTGGCTGCTTACAGAATTCCATGTTTTTAAGTAAAAGGTCAATTAAACCAGGAAATGTTACAATTGAATATTGCTGTAATATCCCTAAGGTTTTGAAAAGAAAGCAGCTGTGACTCTATGCAGACACAGAATAATTGCATTTTCATTTGTGAAGAAAGGTTAAGTCTATGAAATGAACAGTTATGATAACAAAAGTAAATGCATCACAAAAGT